CCAGAAGAGGGAGGTGGGGAAAACGGCAAATTCAAATTTGGCGCTTTCCCCGCCTCCCCTGTCCAGTCCGTAGGTCATGCTTCTGGATGCCTTCCAGGGCTTCTCTGCTGCCATGGGAGGCATCTTGGAGGTCCCCCCCACCGCCGACAGTGCTTCGGAGCAACTATCAGTGATGGGGGGGACCTCTAAGATGCCTCCTATGGTGGCGGAGAAGCCCTAGAAGGCATCTTAGAGGTCTCCCCGGCCCCCGCCGCCTGCAGGGAGCCAAGCTGCGCGATCCCAGCCATGCTCGGACTCCCGGGAGGAGGAGCAAAGTTCCCTGGGAAGAGGAGGAGGAGGATAGGTCAGGTCCATCGTGGCTGCTTCCCCTCCCTCCATCGCTGCTTCTCTCCCTCCATGCCCACCCATGCCTTGCCTCACTTTCCTTCCCTCTCCTGCCGTCTCTTCTCTCCCCCTCACCTGCACCCGGGCAAGGATTCTGGCCGCCGCCACCACCTGGAGCAAAGTCCGCCGGCAGCCAGGTCCAAACTGAGGCAAGAGACCAGCTCAACTGCCTGGTATTGCCTGGTACAGTGCTCTATGGACTGTACTGTATTTTTATTTTTTTTGCTTTTTTAATTTTTGATTTTTGGGTTTTTGATTTTTGACATTATTTTTTTTAAGCAGAGATACTGCCTGTTCTGGGTGAATAAACTTTTTTTCATTTTATTGTATGTACTGTACAGGGTTTTCTGTGGCTTGGTGGGGGGGCAGGGCTAGGTATGGGGGTTATGTTTCTGTGGTCTGATGGGTCTTGCAGTGTTTTAAAATGTCTCTGTGTGTGGTTAAAATGTGGATCCAGAGTCTTTTAAAATCAGAAAATATTCTTTGAGTGGATGTGGTGTTTGTTCAGGAAGACAGGCATTTTTGTCTAAAAGGTGCTTGGTTTAAAAGTTATTCCCTCCCTCCCTTTGCTGCTCCTTTTTCCCCAAAAGGTGCTTGTCTTGTCTTGGCTAAAAAGGTGCTTTTCAAGGAGAAAAAACGATTTCAAAAGTGCTTTGGAAACTGTTCCCTGCCCCCCCTCCTTTCCTGAACTTTTCTTGACCTAAGAAAAAAGAAAAAATATCCCCCCTCTAGTGGTAGAATGCGGAATAGCAGCTTCCTATTAGTTTCTATGGAACGAAAAACAGCAGATACGGATTAAATGGTTTTCAATGCATTCCTATGGGGAATGCATATTCGACCTGCGAACTTTTCGACCTGCGGACTGCCTTCCAATACGGATTAATTTCGTAAGTCGAGACCCCACTGTACTCCCAATCATATTAGGACAAGGCTGCAAGTTCCCACTTGCATCAAAATACAGTAGGATCCTCGTATCTGCAGGAACAATATCTGCAGTTTCACTTATACAGTTTGAAATTATTTTAAAAATCAAAAGAAAATATCTAGAAAAATCTATTTTCACATATATAACCAGAACGATCCACTAAAGGGATTCAGAGCCCATGCTATGAATTGTTGTTGTTGTTTAGTTGTTAAGTCGTCTCTGACTCTTCGTAACCCCATGAACCAGAGCACGCCAGGCCCTCCTGTCTTCCACTGCCTCCTGGAGTTTGGTCAAATTCATGTTAGTATCTTCGATGACACTGTCCAGCCATGCTATGAATACCTGTTAGCAAAGAATAGATAGCATGGACTCAGGTGCCCTCTAGTAGCCAGTTTTGGTAATATGTGTTAAAAATAATTTCTCCCCCTTTTACCATGTTATAAATATTCAACATGGTAAAAGGGGGGGGGGAACAGAAAAAATATTTTGTGCATATATATGTACACACACACACACAAATACACACACATGTACATATATACAAACACATATCGTCAGTTTTCAGTATCTGTGGTGGGGCTTAGACCCACCTCATCACATTCCTCATTATCACACTGTGGATACCACTGCAGGATCTGAGATAAGATACGTAGTTTCTTCCCATGAGGCTTAATGAAGTTTGTTTTGTGTGTTTTCACTTCTTTAACCCATCAACTCTCCATATCTTTTACTCAGGAAAACATTACTAGGACAAATGTGCTGAAAGCAGCAGCCTTAATTGTACATTATAAGAAAATTTAAAAGGATTTCTATTTTCCACTGATGATTAGACTAATAAGAGCAAGGAGACAAAGATGACTGAGGAACATGAAAGACACATTTCTAGCCACAAGTTTGATTTCTTTGGGTAGAGACTAATCTTTTTTTTTATACTACCATATGCCGTCCATGTTCACATTTATAGCACTCTCAGTTAATGTTTTTAATGAACAGAACTGAATTGTGAATCCTCAAAGTTTGAGGGAGGAAAAGGCAAATACTTTCTCCCTGAACACTGAGAATTAAGGTAGCAACAATAGGGGTGTCTCAAGAGTTACACTGACTGTAGTCATTTGATTCCAATCTTTTCACTATGACATTATCCAAAACCATCAGTTCAAACGTTATCAATGCCTATTCCTTCACACATGACTAAAAGTGTAATTTTGTGCATGTTCACTGACAAGGCAATCCCCCTAAGTTCAATTGTGATTGTGTCAAAACTTGAAGCCTAGCTTAGTTGCAGTTACTGCACTGGCTGAAATAGGCTTGACTATCACAAACTTTTGAAATCTATCAAAAGTTAATAATCACAATAGCTAAACGTTAAAGTTCAGAAGCAGCATGTCTCTGGAAAAAAACCTAAAGATGGGAAAGTCACAATTTTCATGCCCTGGTTGTGGGTTTCCAAACATTTAACCTAAAGTTCCATTCACCAGATTCAGCACTGAATTTCTTCTGTGTATTCCACTCTTTCCAAAATAAAACCTGTTTCCATACCCTCATCATGCCATTACATTTTTGCTATACTTAAGTGATTAACGGAATAGTTAATGAAATAAATTTATCAGCAACAAATTGTTTTTTAAAGTAACAGAGAGCCAAGGGCCAATTATGTTTCAGCTTTTTAATACCGTTTCCCTGAAAATAAGACCTAACCTGAAAATAAGCCCTAGTATGATTTTTCAGGATGCTTGTAATATAAGCACTACCCCCAAAATAAACCCCAGTTGTGAAAGCCCACCCTCCACCACTGTGCAGCAACCAGAAGAAGATGACATCACTGTATTTGAATAAATGTAGATTGTTATACATGTAAAAAATAAAACATCCCCTGAAAATAAGCCCTAATGTGTTTTGGGGGGCAAAAATTAATATAAGACCCTGTCTTATTTTTGGGAAACACGGTACATGGATGCTGTTCCTGCTAGAACTACAGCACTCATTTACAACTCCTGGCTGTAACCCATGGAAACAAGTGAGAGTGAGGAATCTCCACCTACTCTGGCATACTCTCTGACATCACCATCCATGCCTGAGAACCAGGTGAAGCAATAGAACAAGCAGTAACAGGTCAGGCAGGAGGGAGGTGATGCCATATAAGAAAAAAACAAATGTTGCATGAACTTCTTTCCCCTTCATCCAAACACTAGCTTGGTGATTTCATAGGATCAACTTGTAGCAACACTCCCTGTGACTGAGATCTGAATTTCCTCAACTGTTTTTTAAGCACTTAAGTGAAGCATTACCGCATACTTGGGCTTCAGGAAGAAGTGCTTCAACACCCACATTTTGGGACTACTTCTAAAAGGGAAAAACTATTTCTGACCAAACCCTAGTGTCTTACACTAAAGCAAAGGGAATGGAGGTGCAAATGTATTGTTGAACAAAGGAGGAAACAGCCCTCTCAGAATTACTAGAGGTCACAATTTGCAGTGCTGGAGTCTTTCTCAATTATAATGGGATTATACTCTACAACTGAGTTGTAACACAATATGTATGTACAGATGAGGATTAAAGAGAGAAAAACATAAGCATATGAGGAGAAGGAGACAATGATCACAGCTAACACTAGGTTGAGAAGAATGGAAGAACACTATTAAGGAAGAACCCAACCTATCCAAAACACATGGATCCGTCCAGAAGCCATTCTGCTAGGGTGATAAATGGAAAAAGGAGGGTCTTCACTAGGAGAAAAGCACGACAACATGCAATAAATAAATAATCTCACCATCAGCCCTCCTGAGAAGCAGGGTGCACCCTAAGGCTCTGCCTATTCCCAACAGCCACCCAGAAATAAGAGATTGGGCAACTAAACCACCAACTCAGTCTTCTTGTTTGCCTTCCCGCTCCGATTTCCTTCTCCCTGTTATAGATCTTTATTTTCTCTACATGCTACTGTAAGAACCTTTAGGGCTTCAGAGTGGGCTATAAACGCCACAAACAACCTAGAGTGCACAGAAATACCTAGAGAGAAAAGTATGACCAACTCCAGTGAAAAGAGTAAGAGTGATCCAGTTAAAAAAAAAAGGGGGGGGGGACTACATAGTTTAAATAAAGATTCTCCCTGTATTCCACAGAATACTGAGGAAGGATCTTGGTCTCAAACCCTGGGAAGCCACGCTGCTATCCTGAGGGAGGCAAACCCCACCGTCTGAATAGCAATAATGTATCGGTTTCTTGGGTCAGGGCACTCAGACACGAGAGGATGGGGCGAACTGATCCAGACCCTCGAGGGAAATAAAGGGCACAAGGAGTGCGGAGGAGGGGGGGGGAAAGGGATAGAA